AATTACAGATGAGTTGCAAGGAAATTTCTTGGAAATTTCTTAACAGTCTTGGTCAAGTGGTTCTCACATTGAATTAGTAAAGTATTGTAGCAACAAAGACCCGTAATTGATCACCTCATAATTGAGTAAGTAAGCACTTGCGGATCATATATGTTGTCTAATTTAATTTATCTTTCTATTGTTTTGTATGCAACTCGGAATTTCTATTTCTCTATGAACTAATGATTTGCTTTTTAACTTATGTTTACATATTTACAAAAACCTTCAATTCTTTAATATCAAATATATTATTAATTTATATGTTTCCTTTTCAAAAATAAATTTACTATTGAAAAAAAAAAATTTCAATTAAGATTATAGACACAATTGGTATATTAAAAATTTAAAATTTTAAAAATGAAAAAACCGAAACAACTTTTGGTCTATTTTCTAAATTAAAAAAATTATATAATATTTATTATTTTGAAAAAAATAAAAATAAAACAAGAGCACATAATAACTCTCATTAGACAAATCTTCTCTCTTCACTCCACAATGCCTCCTCTCAGTCGCAATCTGTTCGATTAATTCTTGTACGTCAGATCAAAACCTAATCAAATCAGACGTCAAGGCCCTTTAAGTGTTAAATTCAAAATCGGTGGAACGTTGATGGTTTTTCTGTCAAGGGGTGGGAAAAGTGTGGATTTACCAAACCTTGGGTGGGAATAAAAATTTTGGACTTAGTAATATGATATTATTTGTTTAATTAATATAAGCATGTATCGAAGTTGGTGAAGGGCGATGCAATGCACATGGCTTCACAAGAAACAAAGGCATAGAAATTAAGGTGTTGAATTTAGTCAATACATTGGTAGATGTGTATGCACGTTTGTGTCTCCACTCCACGCATTCACGATGTTCAAAAACATTACGTTTGCTTAAAAAAATAGTAAATTATTATAGTAAATTGTAGCAACCAAAGCCTGTGTCTTTCTTGTATCTTGAATCCAACTTTCAGCATTCTTACACAAAAATTAACCTGTTTCTATTTGCTTTGCTCTCAAACTCAAATCGTTCGGGTCTTTTCTTTTGATAACCAAAACCATGGCTGAACTTTTGCTCTCTGCAACCCTTCCTTTGTTGTTTGAAAAACTGTCTTCCCCTGAGTTGTTCAATTATTTTGCAAATGAAGAAGGGGTTCGTTCAAAGCTCAAGAAGTGGGAAAAGAAGTTGAAGAAAATTCAGGCGGTTCTTCGCACTGCAGAAGAGAAGCAACACACGAACGACGCTGTGAAACTGTGGCTCGATGATCTCCAAGACTTGGCTTATGATGTAGAGGATTTACTGGAAGAGTTTTCCTATGAAGTTTCACTTCAGAACTCCATTGATTCCCCTTCTTGTTTCAATAATTTCACTCCTCGCGCTATGAAGTTTGATGTCAGTATGCGATCCAAGATGAAAGATATCAATGGCAGATTCGAAGAGCTCTATAAAGAAAGAGTTGAACTTGGATTGATGCACGAGACTTCTGGAGGGACATCAAGTACTGCTGCATCTACCCAACAAGCAATAGATCCAAGACCACCCACTTCCAGTCTGCCAACTGAAGAAGCTGTTTATGGGAGAGGTGAAGACAAAAAAGAAATAATTAAGATGGTGTCAAGTGATAAACCAATTGATGCCAACTTTGGTGTGATAGCAATTGTGGGCATGGGAGGACTCGGCAAAACAACACTTGCTCGGGAGGTGTACAATGACAAGGAATTGGAACGTTTCAAGTTCGAGAAAAAAGCATGGGTTTCTGTCTCAGACGATTTTGATGTTATGAGAATCTCGAAGTCAGTTCTCGAGTCAATAAGTCACTCATCCAGCAATCTAAATAGTTTAAATGATGTACAAGATAAGTTGAAAGAGGAAATACGTGGAAGAAAATTCTTGCTAGCCTTAGATGATGTTTGGAACGAGAATTATAGCTTGTGGGAAACATTCAAGTCTCCATTCAAGGATAGTGCACGAGGAAGTAAAATAATTGTGACTACACGTATTGTAAATGTTGCATTAACGATGAGATCCTTTGAAACTCATAAATTAAAGGGTCTGTCAGATGAAGAATGTTGGAATTTGTTTTTGGAGCATGCACCTTCGACTGGTATGGATATTGATGCTCTTGGAAAATTTCGAGAAAGCGTTGTTAAAAAGTGTGGAGGATTGCCCTTGGCAGCAAAGACTCTAGGTGGTCTTTTACACTATGAGCCGAAAGTTGATGCATGGGAGAATATATTAAACAGCAGAGTATGGGATTCAACTAACGGAAATGACATCCTTCCCGTGTTAAGGTTAAGTTACCACCATCTTCCTCCACATCTTAAAAGATGTTTCGCTTACAGTGCAATTTTTCCTAAAGATTATGAGTTCGATGAGGAGGAACTTGAGCTTTTGTGGATGGGCGAAGGCATTATTCAACAATCAGATAAGCAGCTGAATTTGGCTACTGAATATTTTCGTCATTTATGTTCCAGGTCATTTTTTCAAAAATCAAGTAGCAATAATTTTAAATATGTAATGCATGACCTTGTTCATGATCTAGCACAATCAGTATTTGGAGAAACCGGCTTTAGATTTGAGGAAGTCAATTCTATGCTACCAAAAAAATTTGAAAGGACTCGTCATTTTTCTTATATTTCTAAACATTATGATGGAAAAGATATGTTCAAGGACTTGGAAAAATTGAAAAGTCTAAGAACATTCTTTCCAGTATTTATGAGTCCTTATTGGCGGTATGACCGCAGCTACATAGATGCTACAGTTATTTTTAATTTATTGCCGCATTTGAAGAAGTTAAGAGTGCTCTCCTTAGAAAGATACCACATTACACGTTTACCAAATTCAATTGGAGGCTTGATACATCTAAAGTATCTCAATTTGTCTAACACTATGGTCAAAAGTTTGCCTGAGTCAACAAGCTCATTACTTAACTTGCAAACTTTGCTACTAAAAGATTGTTCTCGTCTTTTGAAGTTACCTTCCAAGATGAGACATTTGACCAATTTATGTCATCTTGATATTAAAGGTGCAGAGTCATTAAAAGGGATGCCGTCTGGGATGAAAGAGTTGATAAACCTCCGAATGTTGTCTAATTTTATTGTGGTCAAAGGGAAGAATTTCAATTTGAATGATTTGAAGAATTTGAAATTTCTTCAAAGAGAGCTTCACATTTCCAAATTAGAGAACGTTAGTCACCAAAAACAAATAAGAGAGCACATACTAAAAAATATGAAAGATTTAGAAGTATTGTTGTTGGAATGGGGATCTCAATCTGATGGCTTACCGAATGAGGAAGTAGAAAGACATGTTCTTGAGATGCTAAAACCTCATAGCAATTTGAAAGAACTTGTAATCAAGTGCTATGGTGGTGCATGTTTTCCATCTTGGTTAGGAGATTCGTCATCGCTCTCCAATATGACCGTCCTTAAATTAGAAAATTGTAACAACTGTAGAAGTTTGCCTTCACTCTGGACGTTGAGCTCACTTAAAGACCTCACCATTGAAGGGATGAAGAGACTAGAAAAAATAGATTTCAAGATGCCTTTCAAGTCATTAGAGGTTCTTCGTTTTGAAAATTTGCAAGAATGGTGGTGTTGGAACACTAAGAGAGAAAATGATGATGTTGAAATATTCCCTCTTCTCCGAGAGTTGTCCATTGTTGAATGTCCGAAACTTGCTGGAGAATTTCCTAACAGTCTTCCTTCATTGGAAAGGCTTTTTATTGAAAAGTGTTCAGAGTTGAAGGCTTCAATTTCAAGTGTTCCATCGCTATGTGAAATAGAAATTGATGACTGCAAGGAAGTGGTGTGTCGTAGTACTATATCTACTGAATTCCAGTCTTTAAATCCTATGGCTCTTTCAAGTACTCCAAAGTTTGGAAATTGGATAAAGCAAGGATTTCAAAAAATTTCAAAGATTGTTGGCTGTGAAGAGCTCACAAATTCGTGGCAAAATTTGAGTTGTGTTGGTAAGCCACTTCATGGTATTCATAGCCTTACATCCCTTAAAGAGTTGTCTTTTGTAAACTGTACAAGTCTTGTTTTGTTTCCAGAGATCGATTTTCTTCCCAATCTGAGTTTTTTGACGATTAGTAATTGGGAGGCTCTAAAATCTTTGCATGAAGGATTGAAGCAAAAAAATCTAGAAAGGCTTGTAATTAAAGATTGTGATTCTCTAACAGTCTTTGAAGGAGGCATACTACCTTTATATTTGAGAAGACTTGAGATTCGAAATTGTAAGCAATTGAAACATTTGGAGGATTTGAGTACTACTCGTTTGGAGTACTTGCGCATTGAGGACTGTTCATCTCTCACGTGCATATCATCAAATGGTTGTTTGCCTGACACACTCAAACAACTTTGGATTCGTGGATGTCCAGAGCTCACAACGCTATCATCTAGACAGCAGTGTTTTCCTAAGGCACTTGAAGTCCTCTATATTTTCTCTTGTTCAAAGCTAGAGTCAATAATAGAGACATTTGAAAATAGCACGTGTCTCAAAGAGATTACGTTTTTGCTGTGTGATCAACTTAAATCGGTACCTTCAGACCTACACAATCTTACATCTCTTGAGATGATTAGGATATGGAATTGTCCGGATATGAAAATATCCTTCAAATTTCCAAACTCTCTCCAAAACTTAGGTGTAAGGAATTGTCCAATATTGTTTGCAGAAGAAGGTGTTCCAACCAACCTAATAGAGCTCTATGTTCAGAAAGGTTCCAAAATCTGTAAGTCACTAATAGAGGGGGGATTGCACAACCTCACCTCTCTTAGACAACTTCATATTACTGGATGTGATGATTCAGGGCCAATTTCTCAAGAGAGCATGGAAACGACCTCCTCTCTAACTTCTCTATCTACTTTGGGTCTTCAAAGCCTCACCTCTCTTAAATCGCTGGCAATTAACAATTTTCGAGAGCTAAAAACCATTCAAGACTTGAGTTGCCTCATCTCTCTTGAAAGTTTGGAGATCAATTGGTGCCCAAACCTTGAAACCATTCCAGACCTGGGAAGCCTCACCTCTCTTAACAGTTTGGAGATTGAGAATTGCGAAAACCTTGAATCCATTCCAGAGTTGGGAAGCCTCACCTCTCTTGAATCTTTGTCCATTGATGAATGCCCAAAGCTCAAATCCATTCCAGATCTGGGAAGCCTCACCTCTCTTGAGTCTTTGTGCATTAAGAAATGCCCAAAGCTCAAATCATTGCAAAGCATGCCACCCTCACTTCTGGATTTAAGTATTGACCATTGTCCATTGTTAAAAAGACGGTGGAAAAGGGGTAGAGGAAAATACTGCTCAAAGATTGCTCATATCCCTAAAGTTTACATAGATGGAAACTTAATCTTCAATTCAAAGAAGGAAGAGTATCAAGAATGAGCATAGTTATTTGATTTCACAACATCCAATCGGAGAATCATCTTACTTCAACCCAGGTTGGTCATTTTCTTACACTATTTTCTTTTATCTTCCGCCTTAATTTCAAAGTTTCCTAAAATTGTTTTTCGTTTAACTTTAATTGACTTGTTTTTTTAACACCTTGTTCTGCAATTTGTCTATCCCTTGTCTTATTTAATAACTTTTCACTAGATTTAATCAATGTATATTCTTCACTTTGATACTCTCGTGGGTGATCTAAATTATGATTTCTCGTGTGTGATCTCTGATATTAGAGATATAATTTGAATTATTTTCCTCATCTTTCTGTGTTTCAGATGAGTTAAGCTTCTACCACTCAGAGGAGTCAAATTTATACCACTCAGAGATATAATTTGAATCTAAGCCTTTTTAAATCCCAAAATGAAGAACCAATTACAGAATCATCTCATTCCAATTTTAGGTTTGTCGATTTCAAACATGTGAATGGTTTTCCATATTATAATCATAAAATGGTGTTGAATATATCCCATTTCGTTGTTCTATAGATTCAATCCAAGAGTGGAGTAAGACATTTTGATACAAGAATACTTGAAATTTGAAGTTTTTATACACTATCTTTCTAAAGTCATCAGTTTCTTCAACTCTTGTGGGTGAAAGGTAACAAAAGAAATTCTTCAACACAAATTCCAATATTTTCAATTATTGATATATATAATATCTGCCAAAGTTCCTTCACAATCTATGGTTGACAGATTTGAGATACTTTGTTGAGGTGGAATGAAATCAGATTGCGATTGGAATGCCATAAAATTTTCCTTATCCAGATGCACGTAAGCATATTTAACATACTTTTTATATTTAAACTCCTAGTAAATGGTAATCCTAGATCATCTTTGATTCGTAGGATCAAGCTACCCTCATCAGCACAAGACTGACTTAGCCTTTAAGGTAGTTCATCTGGTATAAATGAAGAGGACAGTGATAGTGGCTTCTTCTGTCTACATATGTGTAATGTATGAAATAACTTTGCCGTTATGATTTTACAATTTTGATCTGACAACTTTCGATAATAGATTAACATTGTATTATTGCTTTGTTGGCGTGCTCTATACATTAAGTAACTCTCTGCATTGATTGGAAGGCTTGAAGCCAATAAAATTTTGTTTTTCGAAAAGAGGCTGGAATCCATGAAAAAAGGTCAATAATCTTCATTATTTACTTTTTAGTCTTAAATTTTGTTAGTCCAAGCTTGCAAATAAGTCCTTTCTTAAGTTTCGTTACTCTAGCATCTTATTCATTTTTCAAAGAAGAAACGATGAGTGTAAAACCAAGTAATGGACCTCTACATATCGTTGTCAAGGCATTACAATTCGCTTAATAAAGCACGTGAGACAGTCTTTCTCCACTTATGTAGACTTATTCTTACGTTCTCTAAAATCATTGCCTTTTTTCTTGGACAAAATTTATACATGATTTGTATATATCAATGTTCAAGGTGAGTATTTCCTATGAATGGAGTGATTAAAGCAATGTTTGCCGATCTAAAAATGTTGCAGTATGCTTGTGATCCATTCCTATTGTGGTGTGACATTTCCAACTTGGATTAGAAATTCTTTGTCTTTTACTAAAGTGTAATCCCAAATCATCTTTGTCTTTGATTCATAGGATCATCTTTTAGTAAAGAGGAAGATGATAGTGGATTCTTCTGTCTACAAATGTGTAATGTATGAAACGACTTCTTTTCCATTATGATTTTAAATTTTAATTTGACAGGAATTTTTAATAGTTTAACGTTGTATTATAGCTTTCTTGGTGACTGCTTTGTACAGAAAGTAACTCTCTGCAACAATTGGAAGACTGGAAGCCAGTAAAATTACTGTTTTTCAAAAAGAGTTCAGTATCCATGTAAAAGGTTAATAATCTAAGTCTTCTACTTCATTATTTATTTGTTTTTTAAATTCCTTATATATAAAAAAGAGATTGCCTTCTATTTAATATTTCCTTCATTGCATGCTATTTGTTAGTTTTCATGAGTTGTCACTGCTAGTTTGCTGTCTTATTTCATTTGTTAAAAGAAGAAATAATGTCAGCGAACCAAGTAATGGACCTCTATATCTCCTTGCTGAGGCAGAACAACTCACTTAATACAAGCATCTGAGATATTCTTTCTCTGTTTATGTTTTCCCAAAATCATTGTCTTTTTTGGTGGGAGAGCATTGCCACATAATTTTTTTTATAATAATATCCAGGTGAACCCTGTGAATGGAGTGATCGAAGCAGTGTTGATCAGAAAATGTTTCACAGTACTTTTGAGATCTCAGTTCCTATGCTGGTATGAGCTTTCCAATTGGATAAGAAATTCTTGTGCGTTTTGAGATTTTGGAACGACGAAAAGCTCAATGTGTTTCTGCAGGATCAAAGAGTGCAAAATTCTCCAATATTGCGTCTCTTGAAAGATCATCAAGAAGGGTTTGCTGCTTGAATCTTTTGCTAGAGAAGGCTTGCTTGATATGGACAATCTCAAGTCCTTATCAAATGAACTGCACAGTTTCACATCCCTTAAGTAATTTCTTACTGAAATGTTCTTAAATTTGCGTTTTTGGTTGTTGCTTTGCCTAGTTGAAACCCGAATATTGATGTCTGTCCTTTAATAATTCACAGCTTGTTGCAAGAAAGGGATGGGAAGCCTATTTTCCCTTGAAATGATTCAAAAATCTGAAGAGGCTTAAAGGGCGCAAACCTTCGGATCCATTCACTCACCATAGTAATGTGAAGGCTGAAAAAGTGCAGTGGCGGGGCAGCAATTTAAGCACCGGAATTGAGACGGTTTCTGCATCCAAAGAAAATTATTATATTCATCTCCTCTTCTTCTTTGATTAGATATAGGCTAGTGAATGGTGATGTTAAGAAAATGTATAGGTGAAGAGTTAGTGTTCTTTGTGAGTTCTTGTTTAATTAATTAGAGCCAAAAGACTATTGAGAAAATTTTCACTTTCTGGGATTTGAGTGCATTAAGTGGGAGAGTGTTAGAAAGAAATATGAGAGAACGGTTTTGGGTTTAGATTTAACATGAGTCTATTAGACTTGTACTATTATCCTCTATTTTAGTCATTTGACTCACAGCCCGTGGATGTAGGCATGATTTGCCGAACCACGTAAATTTGGTGTTGTTATATGCGTGTGATTGTCTTATTGCTTTCTTTATTTTTCATATTTAAACAACTTTACCGCACAAACTTTAATTTTTTTCAAAAGAACTTCAAAATTAAGTGGAAAAAATCGTATAATAAGGGTATTCGTTTAATTCTTGTTTACCTGGAATCGGACCGGATTCGCATTCAACATTTGAACATTGAATTTTCATTTTCAATCTTCAGATTCAGATCAAAAGAGAGTTTCAGATCTTCAGTTGCCGAGGTGAAGAGAAAAATTAGAAAGTGATGGACTAATTCGATTTAAACTCCAGTTATTTTGGGTTTTTTTTTTTTTTTTTTTTTTAATGACTTAGTATTAGGGGACAATGTTTTATTAAAATTTGGTGTGATTGAAATAAATTAGTAGGATGTTTATTAATTGGTTGATTGAGAGGGATAAAGAACATTGGAGAAACTTTATACTGAGTTGCCCTTTTTTTTATAATATATTTATATTTGGATTATTCTTTATTCTCGTACATTTGAAAATTACGCTAAAACATCCCAATCAAATAAAAGTATAAAAAATTTGGTGGAATATAAGGTAATAATGTTTTAAAACTTGTTTGTAAGGTAAAATAGTCTATAAATATTCTTATAAATTGTTTTCAGAATAAGGACATTTATTGTCCAAGATTTTTTGAATTAGGGTAAAATTTTAATAAAATTAAGATTACCAATTTATTTTAATACCTAAGAAAATGTGATATTCAAATTACTACATATATAACGTACTGTAATTATTATTATATTAAAAAATTATTTAAATATTTATTATTTGATAACCAATATGTAATGTCAAATGTAAAAGAGAACAAAGACACAATATAATGTTTGAATGTTTCCTTTTCAAAATATCTTGGAACAATTTTCAATCACCATCTTTTTTTTATACTAACTAATGAGATGTTGTTACATGATTTAAAGATATATTTACTTTATTTCACTTAGACATACATAATAAACACAAATTAGATTTTAATTGTTAAAAATATTAAAAATACTTTCAGATCTTAATATTATTGTTATGGTATGCCTACCGAAGTAAATTGCACTAAATCTTAGTACATGTCATACTTTCAAGATTTTCCGTATCATATGTCGTCTTCAACCTAACATCACTCATACTTTTATAATTAACATAAATAATGTGTAAAGATCCATCCTAATTGACTTTGGAAAGTGTCTAAAATTAAAGAAAATGTAACTATTGCTTCCCCAAATGTTCATATTTTAAACTTTTTTGTTTTTTAAAACAGCAGTTATGAATTTGAAATTGAAAAAAAAAAAAAAAAAAAAAAAAAAAAAAAAAAAAAAAAAAAAAAAAAAACCTAACAGAAAAACTGAACAGCGTTACAAGTCTTAAGCACTCAAATGACACCATTAACTTCTGTTAGTATTTTCCGTTTGAGCTTTGAGCAACATAAATTGGAATTGCTTCTTCTCTCCGCTCAACATCATGGGTGGAACAAAAAATAAAACCCCCCATGCACTAAAATCGATTTCCCAATTTTCCATAAATTATTTCAATTAAATTGACACAATTGGAAAATTTAAAATACCACTTTAAAAAGTGTAAGAGACATTTTCCTCACCCAATAGTTTAATGATATTTTTTCACCACAACATTTTAAAATATCATTTTATTATCCAAATTTATATTTTGTTTCTGATCCACATTAGAAAAGTGTGGATTTACCAAACCTTGGGTGGGAAAAAAATTTTGGACTTAGTAATAGAGTTATAGACTCTTTTTTACCCAATAATTGTTAATGACACTTTCTCACCCCCAAACTTTAAAATATCACTTTATTATCCAATTTTATTTATGGTGGCGAATAGAGAGCAAACTCATCCAGACTGTGTATGCCTTTAAAAGGGGAGGCTGGTGATCTTTTTGCTGGTGGAAGTTGGATTGGTGTTGGGATTGATCGGAATTTGACTTGGGAGAGACGGCTGCACAAACCCTAATCGTTCGATTGCTGGTGATTGTCAGGTTAGCGAGAGTAGATGTTTGAGGGATTTTGGTGAGTATGATCAGGAAGAAAATGATGTTGATGTGGGTCGTAACCTAATTTTATAACGTTTCTTTCACACCTTGACATAGTAATTCATAATTAGTCACCTCGTAATTGAGTAAGTGAGCACTTGTAGATCACATATGTTTGTCTAATTTACTTTATCTTTCTATTGTTTTGTATGCAGCGGAAATTTCTATTTCCCTATGATACTGAATTTGCTTTTTAAACTTCTGTTTACGATTTACAAAAACCTTCAATTCTTTATATCATAATATTATAATTTTTATATGTTTCCTATTCAAAAATAATTTACAATTGAAAAAAAAAAAGAATATTCAATTAAGATTAGACACAATTGGTATATTAAAATAAAAATTTAAAATGAAAAAACCGAAACAACTTTGGTCGATTTTCTACATTTAAAAATGATATAATATTTATATTTTGAAAAAATAAAATAAAACAAGAGCACTACTCTCATAAACATATCTTCTCTGTTCACTCCACAATGCCTCCTCTTAGTCTCAATCGTTTCGATTAATTCTTGTACTCAGATCAAAACCTAATCAAATCAACGTTAAGGCCTTTAAATGTTAAATTCAAAATCGGGGGTGAAGGTTAGGTTTTTCTGTCAAGGGGCGGAAAGTCGGAAAATAAAATTTGGACTTGTAATATATATTATTTGTTTAATTATATAAGCATGTTCGCAGTTGGTGAAAGACCGATGCAATGCACATGGCTTCACAGAAACAAGGGCATTCA